CTCTGCTCCCAGCACACGATCTGCTCTCCCTGGGCTGCGTCTCTGGCCCCTCTGGATCTGGCACGGTTCTGCTCTCCAGCTCAGCCTGGGCCCCTGCTTTCTCCTTAGCTCGGCCCCACTCAGTCTGACCCAGGCAATTTCAGCTCACACGGAGGACGGGACCTCCCTGGCCTCCTGACCCTCTGATTAGCCTGCCCACCCTGTCAATCAGGCTGATCTGGAGCATTGGCCTCTCCCCATTGTTCCTGGGGACTGTCAGTCTCAGGCTCCTGATTTGCCATCGACCCTTCCCCTTTTAGTACTGGGAGCAAGCCAATCAAAACACCCCCACTGAATGTTAGTAAGGGGGCAACAGTCCCCTTACACATAGAGAGCTGGGTCCCCGGCCCCCACTTCCCCCTGCAATCTGGTCCCCTAGTTCCCAACCATGCCTCAGTCCTGTTGCACCTGGTCTGCCCCTCCCTTCCAAGCCAGCTTCCTCCCCGCACATTCTGGCTAGCCCTCAAAGAGGGTGGCATGTACCTTAAGTGTAATTCCTAGTTTCCAGTAGCTTATGTTTCACAGATCTGTGTAATGAGCATTTCAGAGCACTTAGAAGACCTGATATTAAACAGAAGGGGCTTCTCAACCTCAACTACTAGCTCCGTGATCCAGCTCTGTTATAATAGTCTCTTTATATGGGCAGCGAGTTCTATGGGCCCATGGTGCCGGGCACCAGGAATATTCCTGGCCCGGGGGCCTGGTTCCAGCAAAGTTTCCCACCTGCTCCCACCCCTGCGCATCTCCCGGCCCCGCCTGCCACCCCTGGGCGATTTAAAACAGCCCAGGGGCTCCCGCTGCCACCTGGTAGCGCAGCGGGACTGAGCAGCTTCCTGCGCGCTCGTTCCATGTGGCTGCCGGCATGTCCTTGCAGCCTGTGTTGGGGGGGCTGTGCCGCTGCGTGCTGCCCTGGCACCGAACACCCCTGCAGCCAATTGGAAGCTGCGGGGGCGGTGCCTGGGGACGGCAGCGTGCAGAGACCCCCCGGCCTGGCCCACCTAGGAACCGCTGCCGGACGGGGTGCCCCAGGTAAGCACCAAACCCCCCATCCACTTTCAGAGCCTGCACCCACCCCAGCCTCCCAAACACACCCTCCGGCCCCCAAATTTCCTCCTGCACTAGGGTTACCATATTTCCACAATCAAAAAAGAGGACACTGGGGGGGGAGGAGCCCTGCACTAGCCCCGCCCCGCCCCATCCACTCCCTCCCACTTCCCACCCCCTGACTGCCCCCCTCAAAATCCCCAATTCCCCGCTTCTTGTCCCCTGACTGCCCCCTGCTGAGAACCCCCCACCCTAACTGCCCCCCTAGGAACTTACCTGTCCCCTGACTGCCCCGACGCTTATCCACTCGCATGGGTGGCAGGGTTGTAGAAATTTTGGTGGTGCCCAGAACCCGCCCCCCCCCCACCTGCCTAAGGCTCTGGGAGGGGGATTGGGTGGGGGGAGGAAGTCTGGGGTGCAGGTCCTGGGTGGGGGGAGGAAGTCTAGGGTGCAGGAGGGGTGCAGGCTCTGGGATAGAGTTTGGGTGCTGGGTGCAGGCTCTGGGCTGGGGCAGGGGGTGGGTGTGCAGGAGGGGGTGAGGAGTGCAGACTCTGGGATGGAGTTTGGGGGTGGGAGGTGGTGCAAAGGGAGGGGGTGCAGGCTTTGGGAGGGAGTTTGAGGGCGGGGGGGTGTGGGAAGGGGGAGGGGTTTGGGAGTTTGGGGATAGGAGGGGTGCAAGGGTGAGGGCTGTGGGGCTGAGGATGAGGGGTTCATGATGCAGGAGGGGGCTCAGGGCTGGGGCAGAGGAATAGGGGGTGGGGGGATGAGGGTTGGGTCTGAGGATGAGGGGTTCATGATGCAGGAGGGGGCTCTGGGATGGAGCAGAGGATTAGGGTGCAGGGGGATGAGGGTTGGGGCTGAGGGGTTCATGATGCAGGAGGGGGCTCAGGGCTGGGGCAGAGGATTAGGGTGCGGAAGGATGAGGGTTGGGGCTGAGGGGTTCATGATACAGGAGGGGGCTCATGGATGGAGCAGAGGATTAGAGTGCGGGGGGATGAGGGTTGGGGCTGGGGCTGAGGGGTTTGGGGCGTTGGAGAGGCTCAGGGCTAGGGTGGAAGGGCAGGGTAAGAGCAGCCTGTCTTGCCATTTGTGGATGGGGGGCACTAGGACCCAGGGGCAGCAGACAGCAGTTGCTGCCTGCTCTGGCCGTACAAGCAGGCATGGGAGAGGCAGGCGGGGGGGGGGGACTCACGGGGGGAGGGTGCATGGAGGGGGGGTGGCAGGTGGAGGGGCCGGGGACCCATCCAACACTCCCCCGCTCCCTGACTGCCCCCTGGGACTCCCCTTACCATGCTCATGTCCACGTGTAGGCAAAACACGCTGCAGGGGGGAGCAGGGGAGGGCTCTGGCTGCTGGAGGCCAATGGGAGTGGCTCAATCCTGCCCAGCCGCCCAATCAGCAGCCGCACTCTGCATGGAAGGGAGGGAAGGAGGGGAGGGGAAAAATCCTGGACCTTTTAACCTTGTTACCAATTCCTCCCGGACGGCTATTTAGAGACGCAAAAGCCGGACATGTCCGGGGAAATACGGACGGATGGTAACCCTAATATTGCCTCTATATAAATCCATGGCACACCCACATCTCGAATTAGGGGGTTGGACTAGATGACCTCTTGAGGTCCCTTCCAACCCTGGTATTCTTTGATACTTCATGCAGATGTGGTCACCCCATCTCAAAAAAGTTATATTAGAATTGGATAAGGTTCAGAGAAGGGCAACAAAAATTATTAGGGGGGAACAGCTTCCATAAGAGGAGAGATTAATGAGACTGGGACTTTTCAGCTTGGAAAAGAGACGAATAAGCAGAGGATATGATAGAGGTCTATAAAATCATGACTGGTGTGGAGAAAGTAAATAAGGAAGTGTTATTTACTCCTTCTCATAACACAAGAACTAGGGGTCACAAAATGAAATTAGTAGGCTACAGGTTTAAAACAAACAAAAGGAAGTATTTCTTCACACAACGCACAGTAAACCTGTGGAACTCTTTGCCCGAGGATGTTGTGCAGGCCAAGATTGTAACAGGGTTCAAAAAAGAACGAGATAAGTTCATGGAGGATAGGTTCATCAATGGCTATTAGCCAGAATGGGCAGGGATGGGGTCCCTAGCCTCTGTTTGCCAGAAGCTGGGAATGGGCGACAGGGGATGGATCACTTGATGATTGCCTGTTCTGTTCATTCCCTCTGGGGCGCCTGGCATTGGCCACTGTCGGAAGACAGGATACTGGGCTAGATGGACCTCTGGTCTGACCCAGTATTGCCGTTCTTATGTTCTTACGAAACTCCTCCACTCTACCCCGCTAAAACACCAGACAGAGATTGATTTGTTTCCCTGAGCATCACTGCTGGGCATTTGACATGGTTCCCTGCACACAGAAAGAGTCACATTTCTCCCCAGACTAGAGCCCTCCCCAGACTGAAACTCTCAGCCACAGCTCACAGGAACAGCAGCAGATCAGCCAGATCTAAGGGGAACGCCCCATAGGCTGAACAGAGGCGGAACACAAGGAAATGAAACTAACCCTGTCACGCAGCCATGGCCGCAGACAGCCCTGTACTAAGTCTCCAGGATGAACTCTCTTGTTCCATCTGCCTGGAGTATTTCAAAGAGCCGGTGTCTATCCACTGTGGGCACAACTACTGCCGAGCCTGCATCAGTCAGTGCTGGGGGGAGACAGATACAAACTTCTCCTGCCCGCAGTGCAGAGAAACGGCCCAGCAGAAGCTTTTCAGGCCCAACAGGGAGCTGGGGAAAGTTGTGGAAATAGCCAGGCAGCTGAGTTTCCAGGTCACGGTGACCGCAGGAGGGGAGCAAGGGTGTGAGCTACACCGGGAGGCCCTGAAACTCTTCTGTGACACGGATCACCAACTGATTTGTGTGATCTGCAGAGAGTCGCAAGTTCACAGAGCTCACACTGTTTTCCCAGTAGAGGAGGCCACCCAGCAGTACAAGGTAAGGCCTGGGTGTCTTGTGTTGTCATTTAAAATAGTTTTGTTTTGTTTTGATGATAGTTATTTTCTATGTTTTGGCTGGCGTAGCGCCCCAGTGAAAGTGCCCACCTGAGACTGTCCCCAGAGTGGGCAGCCACCGGCCAGCGCCGGACGCTTGGAGTGAAGTGAAAAAAACAGTGGTATAGTGACTGAACCCTGACAGTGTCACTTTGGCTGCACTCTGGCTGAAGAAAGGTTCTAGGACAGAGGTGGGCAAACTACGGCCCGCGGGCCACATCCGGCCTGTCCAACCCCTGAGCTCCCGGCTCCTCCCCTGCTGTCCCCCTCCCCTGCAGTCTCAGTGCGACGCGCTGCCAGTGGTCTGGTCCACCGCTCCTGCCGGGCAGTGCGGGTGGCGTGGCTGGCTCTGGCTGGGCGGTGGGGCTGCGAGCTCCTGCTGCTCTGAGCAGCATGGTAAGGGGGAGGGAGATTGGGTAAGGGGCAGGGGTACCGGGGGACAGGGACCAGGGGGTGGTTGGATGGGGCGGAGGTTCTGGGGGGGCAGTCAGGGGATGAGGAACAGGGGGCATTGGATAGGCAAGGGAGTCCCGGGGGGGCCTGTCTGGGGGTGGGGGTGTGGATAGGGGTCGGGGCAGTCAGGGGATAGGGAGTGGGGGGAGGTTAGATGGGTCGGGGGTTCTGAGAGGGGCAGTCAAGGGGCGGGAAGTGGGAGGGGGTGGATGGGGGTGCAGGCTGTTTGGGGAGGCACAGTCTTCCCTACCTGGCCCTCCATACAGTTTCTCAACGCCGATGTGGCCTTTGGGCCAAAAGGTTTGCCCACCCCTGCTCTAGGTAATGTATATTCATGGGTCCTGAGGACAACTATCAGAGTAGCACTGGGGGTGTAGCAGTTAGGATGGCTGTTTTCTAGGCAGTCTGTCTGGGTTCAATGCCAAACAAGTGTGGTGTTTTCCTCAGCTCTTCCCCTGCTTTTACCACAGCAAGGATGTGTTGCCAAATAGAGAGAGGAGAGGAGCTCCACTGCTCTATAGAGGGCTCTGTGGCACAATGGATAGCATGTTGGACTTCTAAGGAGTAGTGCCTGGCCTCTATGCATTAAGACAGTTATTCAAAGGTTGTGGGTTCAAATCCCACCTGAGTCACTTTTGCTGCTCCCTGGCTGCCATTGTGGCTTTTACACAATAGGTAGGACTATACCAAATTCGCGGTCCATCTTGGTCAATTTCACAGTCATAGGATTTTTAAAATCGTAAATGTCATGATTTCAGCTATTTAAATCTGAAATTTCAGGGTGTTGTAACTGGAGGGGTCCCGACCCAAAAAGGAGTTGGGGGGGGGGAGGTGTCACAAGGTTATTGGGGTGGGGGGGTTGAGGTACTGCTACCCTTACTTCTGTGCTGCTGCTGCTGGCAGTGGCACTGCCTTCAGAGCTGGGCAGTGGTGGCTGCTGGCCAGGAGCCCAGCTCTAAAGGCAGAGCCACCGCCGGCAGCAGTGCATGGCATGATATGGTAGTGCCACCCTTACCTCTGTGCTGCTGCCTTCAGAGCTGAGCCCTCAGTCCGCAGCCGCCACCCTTTGGCCACCCAGGTCTGAACTCAGTGCAGAATTAAGGGTGGCAATACCACGACCCCCTAAAATAACCTTGCAACACCCCTGCAACTTCCTTTTGGGTCAGGACCCCCAGTTTGAGAAACGCTGGTCTCCCCCGTGAAATCTGTATAGTATAGGACAAAAGCACACAAAAGACCAGATTTCACAGGGGGAGACCAGATTTCACAGTCCATGACACGTTTTTCATGGCTGTGAATTTGGTAGGGCCCTAGCAATAGTCAGCCACTTGAGTGCAGCCAAAGGGCCGAAAGGTGCGCCTGGCTACCAGTAGGTAGAAGCCTCTACCTGCATCTTCGCTGCGCAGGGAGATGTGTTTAACCCTCTAGAGAATTAAGGAAAAAATAGGAAGGAGAAAAAGAAACAAAAGCCTCTTCCAGTGGCTGAGACCTGGTACAAGCCTTCTGTGGCTGCTCCTTTCCGGCCCATCTGGGTGCCCCCTTCTGGCCATACCAGGGTTGGGGCACTGCCACTGAGCGGTGGGCAGCCGGGGTTCAGCAATCCCTGGCCTCACACTGAAGAGACAAAGTTTAAGCATCTCTACTAACAGGGCCGGCTTTAGGACGTGCGGGGCCCAATTCGAACATTTTCGGCAGGGCCCCGGCAGGGATGACTAAAAAAAAAAAAACGTAAAAAAAAGCCTTTCATTTCTTCCATGTATTATTTACTTTCCATAACTATATAAATAATAAAATTATATATTATGTACATTGCGTCATATATAAGAACATAAGAACATAAGAACAGCCGTACCGGGTCAGATCAAAGGTCCATCTAGCCCAGTACCCTGTCTACCGACAGTGACCAATGCCAGGTTCCCCAGAGGGAGTGGACCAATAGGCAATGATCAAGTGATCTCTCTCCTGCCATCCATCTCCATCCTCTGACAAACAGAGGCTAGGGACACCATTTCTTACCCATCCTGGCTAATAGCCATTAATGGACTTCACCACCATGAATTTATCCAATTCTCTTTTAAACGCTGTTGTAGTCCTAGCCTTCACAACCTCCTCAGGTAAGGAGTTCCACAAGTTGACTGTGTGCTGCGTGAAGAAGAACTTCCTTTTATTTGTTTTAAACCTGCTGCCTATTAATTTCATTTGGTGACCCCTAGTTCTTGTATTATGGGAATAAATAAATAACTTTTCCTTATCCACTTTCTCCACATCACTCATGATTTTATATACCTCTATCATATCCCCCCTTAGTCTCCTCTTTTCCAAGCTGAAGAGTCCTAGCCTCTTTAATCTCTCCTCATATGGGACCCGTTCCAAACCCCTAATCATTTTAGTTGCCCTTTTCTGAACCTTTTCTAGTGCCAGTATATCTTTTTTGAGATGAGGAGACCACATCTGTACGCAGTATTCGAGATGTGGGCGTTCCATCGATTTATATAAGGGCAATAATATATTCTCAGTCTTATTCTCTATCCCCTTTTTAATGATTCCTAACATCCTGTTTGCTTTTTTGACCGCCTCTGCACATTGCGCGGACATCTTCAGAGAACTATCCATGATGACTCCAAGATCTTTTTCCTGACTTGTTGTGGCTAAATTAGCCCCGATCATATTGTATGTATAGTTGGGGTTATTTTTTCCAATGTGCATTACTTTACATTTATCCACATTACATTTCATTTGCCATTTTGTTGCCCAATCATTTAGTTTTGTGAGATCTTTTTGAAGTTCATCACAGTCTGCTTTGGTCTTAACTATCTTGAGCAGTTTAGTATCATCTGCAAACTATGCCACCTCACTGTTTACCCCTTTGATCGGTTATTAATGAGCTCCATTTCACATGTGTGGATCCCCGCCACTCCCTGGAGGTGTGCTAGGGTGACCAGATGTCCCATTTTATAGGGACAGTCTCGATTTTTGGGTCTTTTTCTTATATAAGATCCTATTACCCCCCCACCCCCTGTCCCGATTTTTCACACTTGCTGTCTGGTCACCCGGTGTGCACATGTCTGGGTCCCAGCTGCTCCCTGCCCCCCTCATTGAAGCAGGTGTGCAGGGTTACTGCCCTGGGAACTGCAGGGCACCAGTGAACATGGGTCTGGCTGCAGGCAGGGCAAGGGGTGCGGGGCTGGCTGGAGACAGGGGCTGGTGCGGGCAGGGCATGGGGTGCGGGGCTGGAGGCAGGGCAAGGGGTGCAGAACAGGCTGGAGACAGGGACTGGCTGCAGGCAGGACAGGGGGTGCGGGGCTGGTGCGGGCAGGGGGTGCAGCAGAGGCAGCTGGAACCCTGGCCCTTTAAATAACCCCCAGAGCCCCACGCTACCCCAGGGCTCTGGGGGCTATTTAAAGGGCCCAGGGCTCCCCTGCTTCTACCGCCCCGGCCCTTTAAATAGCTGAGGGAACCCTGGGGAAGCGGCGGAGCTCCCACGGTTATTTAAAGGGCCGGGGCGAAGAAGCAACGGGAGCCCCGGACTTTTTAAATAGCCCCCACAGCCCTACCCCAGGGCTCCAGCAGTGGGGTTCTGGTGGCAATTTACCCAGGCCCTTTAAATTGCCCCCTGGGGAAGCCGGGCCACCCTGGTACGGCGCACTGGCTCTTGCCGGTACACTGTACCGGGGCTTGGGCGCGGGGCCCTCTTAGGCGCGGGGCCCGATTCAGGGGAATCGGTTGAATAGGCCTAAAGCCGGCCCTGTCCACTAACTTAGGTGTCAACTCTTAAGCCTCCCCATCTTGTGCTGCAGCCGCAGTATTTAGCCTTCTTGTGTGGGTTCTCCTGCTGGGGAGAATTGGCCCTGCTGGGCTCCATTTGAGGAGGAAACCTGGGCCGGAAAGAATTGGTGGACCAGGCTACCAGGAGGTAGAAGTCTTGGCAGTGCGGGGAGGAGTGCTTTCACCACTAGCACTGGTGTCTTCAGTTGAGCTCAGGGCGGACAAAACCTTTGGGGCTAAAGATGGTTTAATCTTCATCTTCACTCTGAATAGAGGGGGTGAAAGCAAGGCCTAGGTGCCAAGCAGAGAAGCT